TAAATGAACAAAAACTTTTTTCGTAATTCGTAATGGATGAATATAAATATTTCGTAATTAGAATATACGAATATATGTATAATTATTATTCGCATTTTAAGCTTATCTGTATTCACGTATAATAACTTGGACAATAGCTGATTTGATGGCAGATATTTCAATGCACTGCAATATTGAATCGATTTGAAGAATTGAGGTCTTTATTGAATTCTACCTAGAATCAAGATAAGAGGATGATGAAACGGATCATTGAGAATTATTCTAATGTCGTAGGTTCTCTTAAATTGTTTCAATTAGGTAAATACTCGTCCAAGATAATTAGGTGAATAAATTTTTGTTATTCGATGACTTTACTCGAACAATAATTAATCATTATTTGCAGTAAATTATCTGTTTCATGTACTTATCTAAATAATTTTCTTTAATTTATTTCAATAATGTTTTTTTACACAATATATTAATGACATATTTATTACGGTATAATTTTAAATTATATAGAAATTTTATTTGCAAATAGACGAATTTTTAATCATTCAAATAACATATTAAATACATAATCAATTCTATAATAACAAATACTACTTGAATATTTAAAATTGTGTACAACATCAATGGACGTGTATTTTGCAATGTATTACAGCTGATATGGTCACCGATTATAGACACAGCTGCGTAATAATTCTTCGAAGACAAATGATTGTATTGTTCTTGTTCATTATAACCTCCTTTCTAAGATCAACTGCTGAAATAAATTCCAAAATCTTTATATTAAACGTTTCCTGTTATAAAATACATTTTTCTTAAAGAAATGATCAGAATTTTCTCTGAAGTATTCAATAACCAATGTAAATTCATGGTTTAGATCTAGTAAACAAAGGATATTACTGAATTACATAAAAATACAAAAATATAATCGTGCATACAAAGTTTGACTCGATTTGGCGTCGTTCTAAAACGTCAAGCAAACACGTAGCGTCTCGTATTAAAAAGAAAAACAAGCAGAGGGTCAGCACGTGGGAATAAATATTCCATTCGCCTTACCTTGGATATTTTCCTAGATTCGTAGATCCTTTACCTGCAAAATGTGTAAAAAAAGTTTCTATAAGAATAGTTCTACCTGATCCCTGAAACCAGCTACCGTTTCTGCCGCAACATTTCCAATCATCACTTCTTCTAAAGAGAATGCAACATCTGCTTTTTTAACCACGTCAATTGGAATCATCCGTGTGTACTTAATTTTATAATAGTTAGGGTAAATGTACCAATTACTGGACTATAAGGATAATAAATATAAATATAAATATAAATATAAATATAAATATAAATATAAATATAAATATAAATATAAATATAAATATAAATATAAATATAAATATAAATATAAATACAAATATATACATAAACATAAATATAAATATAAATATTTACTTAATATTTTTTAAATAATAGTAATATAGCTGTATTTATTTAATATGTTTTTTTGCCTTAAGTAGTTAGTTATTAGTACATTTATCTTAGTTAAAAACAATCTCTGATGGTGACGAAATAAAAGTATCTATATTATACTTACAATTATAATAGTAGATACAATATTTTATCCCACAGAATTGAACAAAACGACGAATGTAAAATTTTTGAAACTTCTTGCTTGAGATTGCATTCACGCGCGTGAGACGTGATTCCAGTGGTCAAAAACTAAACAAACGTCTCTCCAAACAACGCAAATAAAAGTTTCAGACACGATCAAACAATACATTACAACAGCAGTATTTCCTGTTTTCCAGTTTTGAACGAATACAATTTTTTAACTTTCAAATAAACCAAGATAGAGTAGAAAAAAATGGTCTCTGCCATAATTATGATTTATGAATATGTTCCTGCGCATGGAATGTCAATTAGACGTACGTGAAAGTTGAAAAATGGTACCAGAATAAAATGAAATTCATTATTACGTATACTATAAATCACAATATAATAATTTCATTAAATTAAATCGAATAAAATGAACAGATAATTTTAGAGTAATTGTGACTCGTTGTTCTAGATACTTCTATTTCATTTCTAATTATTATCAATAATAATAAAATAAATCTCACGTATTGACCCCGTTTCTCTTCTAATAGAAACAACTGTAACATTAAATCTGATGTGAAGACGAACTTGAATGATCCTACCGATATCCAGAGTGTGCTTAAGTTTATCAGACAAATTAACCTCCTGAGTTCATTATAATTAAGTCATGTCTGTTCCGAAAATCTTGTATTATGCATTAAGTATTATTAAATAACAAGTGACTGACTCACTTGTCAAATCGATTAACTTCGCTTCTTGGCTTTTTCAAGATTTTATCGTTAAAACGCTTCATTGGTTATTGACTTTTCATATTAAAAATAAATTTCCTTATTATTGAGTGTAATACCACGAAATAACAAAATTCTACTGCAAAACTTGCAGTAATAATAAGAATTACTTCGGAGTTACACTACTTTATACATTTTACATACTCTTTAGATTGAAGCTACACGTGTAATAACGAAGTAAACTACATTCGATAATGATTATTTAATTTTATATTTAAACGGGAATTTTGAAAATCATTGTAGACCTATTGCATCACTTTTCTCCGCTGTGTGTTTTACGGAGTTAATTGATTTGACAAGTGAGCCATTCAAGTAATGTATTCAAATGTTAATAGTCACTAATGACTTTATGCGATGTTAATGTGAACACCACAAAGTAAACTGAAATATAAAAAAAAGAAGTGTTATGTATCGGATTGATCCATATTCAGTTTAATCGCTCCGCTGCGACGATCGGTTCACACTTGGGACAGAAGTTTATACAATCGCACGCATTCACACGTAACTCGACCGCATAGGCGAGAGATCAGGTGTGCATACTTAAATCTTCTGCATAATTCCGAGGTCTGTTTAACATTCAGTGGCACGAGAGCACACACGGTGATCCATATGCATTTTTGCGCCCGTTGCAACGTAGTATGCGCGACGAACTATATCATAGAATCTCATGAATCGCCATAAAGCCGGCTGAGTAATTCTCAGGCAACCGGTTTTTAGGTCCATTAAAAGCTTCATCTACACTCTGTTCAGTTTTATTCTGTCTTACTGTGGAAACTAAACGTTGTTGCCGGCGATCGATTCGTTCGACGACCGTGCATTACTTTTTTCTCTGATGCCCATAAGATCTGGAAGGTTTCACATTTGAATGAGAATGCTGGAATATCTCGCGAGGAATCGGAGCTATGCGAATACTATTGATAACGAAATTGTGTTCAGCATTGTTGGAAATTCAATTTATGAGTTTTTTAATGCAAGTTCGATGTTCAGTATGAATTTCGTTTGGTGATGTGTCGCGTTTCTATTTTATGGTGATGCGACCTGATATCTGTGCTACTCATTGGGCAAATCGGTTACTTCCGTAAAAGAAAAAATAGAGAAAGGTGATGCAGCAGTGTCCATTTATTTTTGAAATTTGTCTCTAAATTGAAAACCAACATGTATTTTATTTTATTACTATAGGTTCAGCTTTAACCCTTTGCATTCCTGTGTCGAATATGATTCGATATCAGGTTTATTCAAAAGTGTGCTTCTCTATTGGTACATTTTAAAATTATATTATTATACAATTTTCAATAATATTGGTGTAAAGAATAGAAATGTTCCCTATTATCTAACCCAACTAATTTCTTTTGAAATCGATTTCAAACGAAACACTTAAAACAATACAAAATTATCGAGAAGGAAGTGTAGAAGACACTCGGAGTACAAAGGGTTAATCCAATGAACATAAGAAATGCATACAGTAGTATAATCATGATAAGTAAGATATTGTGAATAAAAATTCATGCATAGTAATATGTATAATTTTGATAAAACTATTAATTAAATATCAATTTCATGATATTTCAGACTGATATCAATATTGATTAGAAAATTATAGAATTTTCAGAAAAAAGAATCTAATATTTTCCAGTATTCGATCTTTCACAGTAATAGATACGAAAAGAGAAATTATATGCAAAGTTTTCTCATGAAAAATCTAAACAAAATAGATTATCAAGGTACTTCCGGTTTGGACATGTTCACTTGAACCGAATTTTTCCGCGTGAAAGTTGTTCAGGATGTGCAATTCCCAGATAAACTTTAACTGCAGTCTGTCTCGTAACTTTATTTGATACATATCTCGGATCTCGACGTAAATATAAGTATTTCTACTTTCACATCACTCGGCAGTTTCATTTTCTTCTCGTTATTATCGTGACACCTCTCGACCGCGGCCTATTTTATATAATATAGTAATACATTAGTTTCAAGAATTTATTGTGTAAGGGAAAGTTGCTTGCGCACAGTTGCGCAATTTATTAGGCGTTATTATCTATGAATGGTGTGCCCGAGGATAATGGAACAGGTAAGAATAACAGGAACATCGGAGAACGGATATGCCTCGTAAACAATGTGAGCTTCTTTTAAGAAATTTTGTTAGTGTAAAGAACAAAAGCATAACATTTTCTATTGATATTATTAGCAAAAAGGGATTCATTTCTGTGCCAGTATGAACAGTGCGTTAATAAAATTCTAGTAGACACGATATTAACTCTTTGCATTCAACAATATTTTCCACCATATGTATTCATCATGTTTTAGGAAATAATTTCATTAATGAAATATCGTTACTTTCGGAATTAAGATAAAGGAAAATCATGCATAATAATTAAGGTACAGAACCATTTTATTTCAACATTTCACTTTTTAATAGGTTATACAGAATTTAATATTAAATTTATTTAATATTACTAATATTATGAAATATAACATTCAATATTCAATATTAAATTATAAAACTTTATTTTGGTGCTTCCAATCAAATGTCGACTGAAAGTCGCCTCCCGAGTGCAAAATATTAACAGTGAATAATAACGATCACCACTTCACATACACTATTTGGAATGTTTAAAAAGCTTGCCGTCACTCACGTTCCAGGTACGTTCCTGCTGCTCTTCACCACCGTAACAGCGGACACGATAATAGGTTCGTCTTCAGTCCTCGACGAAATCCTCGCTTCGAATGCGTCGGTAGCTGCAAAGAACAAAACGATATTGAACAAGATACCTTCAAGAGACGAAACGCTAGAATTCGCCTCAGTGGACAGCGATAGAAAATCAATCAGCTCGCAGAATGCGAGTAAAAACGATGCAGAGTCAGCGTTCAGCAAGCTTGCCAATGATGCCAAAACAGAGGACGAAGAGAAAGTGCCAACTCCGATTGACAGAGAGTTCGAGGGGCAAGGGGCAAGACCACGGAACGAAGTCGACTGGTCCTCGGATTCGAACAACGCAAGCTCGAAGTATGATGAAACTCTTTATGGAACTTCGGGGAAGAGTTCCAGCACGAAAACAATCTCCGAAGAGTCGAACAGATTATCCAGGACGAACGATTTGATCGTTGCAACCACAAAACCCGCGTTGGAAGAGTCGAAATCCGACGAAAAGACAAATGAGACGATTCCCGACGTCGGTCATCATGACAAAAACAAAACGAACGAATCGTCTACGTCCAAAGAAGAACATGAAACTATTACAGAAAAAGGAACATCTTCAAACGAATCCGAGATTTCCAAACTGGAGGGGAAAAATGTTGAAGATAGATCGACCACGCATAAAACTCTTTCATCGGAGAAGCTTCAAGAGAGGCTGAAGAAAACAGAAGACTTGAGCCCGACGAAGAACGTCGAGGTACCTGACCTAAAGGAAACGGATGAGAATAAAGAGAGCAGCGAGCCTATCTCGTTAATCAACGACACGTACGTCAACTACAGTCGCCATTACAAGACCTCGACGGAAAAAAACTCGGGAACGGTCTCAGGAGGGCAGTCGAGTGCTATCGAGAACGCCACTAACTTTATCTCCAAAGACAGTGCCATAACTCAGAAACCGAGGGATCCTAAAGAGGACGTGGAAGTTGTCGGCAACGCGACCGAAGTGGCAGTTGAAAGGATTGAAGCGCAGCAATCTCAGAATTCAACGAGATCTCTAGATGAGTTTAATCATTCGCTAAGTCCAAACGAATCGCTACACGATCCTCCTAAATCCGAAAAAATCGCGATCGAAACGCATGAGCTGATCGACGAGAAGAATCAGCAGAAACTGATGGAAGCTGCAACCGATAAATCAAATCAGACTGAAGCTTTAGCAACTCAAGACGCTTCTAGCCCTGTTCCTAGAGGCAGGACCATCGCCTTTTCAGGGATAAATGAATTCCCGAATCTAGACACGAAACCCACAACAACTTCGAAAATCGACGTAGCATTTTCGAAGAAGAACATTAGCTCTGAGAAGCTAGCAGAGCAAAAGCCTTATCCTTACATGAAATCATCCACGAAAGAAGAAGCTCATAATGCTAGCAATCAAGTGGTCGACGCTACAACCGAAGAAGCTTCAGCACTGGAGAATACGATCGTCAGGGGTCAACCAGATGAAAAGTTCATAGTTACAGAGGCTTCCGACGTTTTAGAGAATAGCATCCAGCAGTTCAAGCCTACGTACTATGAGAAGTCTAGCAATGATTCCTCGACAGTTTCGACAACTCCGCTTCGTCCGTCAGTGGCTACGACCACGGTGTCACCGTCGACGTCAGACGAAGCGCGGCCGACGAATCGGTCGGTCGGATCTATCGATCCGGCGACGGCCGAGGGGAAGTCCTCGACCAGCGGAAATGATGTTCCGCGATGGAGCGAAGGTCGCGACGCGATTACTGGGAGCGGGAACTTCGACATGACCGGGAACGGAATAACGGAAGTCAGCGTAAAACCGGAGAGCGCCGATAAACGAACTTACGAGCCGCCTTTCCGCGGAACCGGCGACCGAACCACATCCGGCCCAGCGACGCAAACGGAGGACGGGTTGAACGTTGCCGACGTTCAGACAAACGCTGAAAGCTCGCTGTTAATCCGATCGACTCTAAACGCCACGGAACTCGCCACCGAGTACCCTTTGGTCAAAAAGAACTCTTCCGAAGAAGACACTACCATTGCTACCAACTTAGAGATCACCACTGTGAAGATACCTGATAACATCACCGAACCACCTACCACCGTCGATACATTAAAAAATGTCACCGAAACACCTGACACCCCGGATACGAATGGTACAAATGAAATCCCTTCCGGTGTCACTGGTTCTTTCAGTTCTGATGATAGCCCCGTACCCTCGACGACGACGATAGAATATGAATTCGTCGGGCTCTCTGAGACAACTACTTTCTTTAATCCAAATGTTACCGAGGAAACGGTGTCTTCCGATGTTCACGGGTCTCCTAGTGAAACCACGACTGTGCCCACGGTGCAGGATCTATTTGGTAAGAATTCCCTGAATGAGACGTCGACAGTGAAGATTGCAGCGGTTACTGAGAGTTCTTTGATCGATGAAACGGAGACTACTGATAATGAGGAGAGATTGAGTGCATCGACCACTGAGCAGACGACGGTTCCTATATCGACGACGAATTTAGGGGCTAGGGATGATGTTACGACTCAGACGAATGTTATTGAGGAAGAGACTAGTCAGAGCTCGACGAGGGAGGATGAGGGGCAGAAAACGAGTAGCGCGACGGATTCTTGGACTACCGTGAGTGAGGATGATGCAGGTGTCACTGGGAGGACGGAAGAGTCGTTTACAACGGATTCCAAAGATTCTCGGCGTATGCTGAACGTTACTGAAACTCCGGCTCAGGCCACAATGGCGCCGGGTATTAGCACGACAGGTGCGACTCGAGTGGCTGGCTTCAGCCCCTTTGTGCCGAGTAGTCCGCGACCGGGGATCACATTTTCGAGCACCAGCAGCAGCACTCCAGCTGCTCCCGGGGTACCGATGGAGACGACAGATGACACGAGGATGTCACCCGGCCCCGAGGAGATCACTTCGTTGGTGCATATCGTCATGGAAGGCACCTGGAATGAAATTTGCCTGGAGATGGAGAAGCTGAGGTCGACTCTGGCTGAGGTTTTGAAGGTTGGGATGAAGGGGTGAGTTTGGATTGATTTGAGAATTGTGATGGAAATTGGGAATTGAAATTAACAATGACATTTAGGGGTGTTTACATTGGTGAAATTGGTTCAATGGTGATTCCGTATTAACGAGTTAACTGCGTTCGACAAGTATACACGTCACCTTAAAATCAAAATGATACTAATTCTTTCAACAATCAACTATTTCTTTTTTCAGATAAGCATGTCATTCTTCTGCGTTTTGCTTTAACTTTCAGTAAATAAACAAGCTACGATAAGCTAAGATTAGCTACGATTAAAGCTCTGTTATTTTTCATATAAACAAAACGGTCAGTCGAATTCACATTAATAAATCATCCGAAACCATTAATCTTTCATTGTATTCTATATACACTGTCGTATATAAGCTACAACTTCATTCGCAGCTCGCACAGTCATGTCAGTCACTTTGAGGTTAATTAATACACATGTAACTAATCCTTGACATCGCGGCAAGATGCTAAGCGAACAGTGATACATCGTCGTCTTTCACGTTGCAGGTCGGTTTCTGATAAGCAAATTATGTTCCATCGGCAACCTCGACTCTGCCCGGAGGTTGCGAGTTCCACACCGACGACATCGGATATACCGTTGACGTCGATACTGGTTTACGTCGTTGACGAAAACGGAAAATTCGACAGCACTATGACAAATAGTTTGCCTACTTTGTACCAAGACGTCAAAGATACTGTCAAATTCCCTATTGCAGTAAGTTCATAAAATTATAATTGATTGGCTCAGAATAATAGCTGTCTATCGAGAAAAAAGGATCACAATTATTAACTCTTTACGGTTCGACTTGAATTAATTATTGACTTCTACCAATTCATAGTATATCTAAGAACTTTGTCCGAGTTTTAATAAAGTTATAAACAAGATGAAGTATAAAATGAGCCGAGAAACAATTAAAGACTTTTATTAATTGCTTTTAATATACATTAATTAATTGACATGCAGAAATAATTAAAATAATTAGAATTTTTTCATTTAAAAACTATGTCGAACTTGACGTTGTACCTGCTGCAAGGAAATATTATGTCGAGTCAGACTCGATGTTGGACCGCAAAGAGTTAATGATATTAATAACGTTTAATTATTATTTACACTATTAATCATTATGATTAATATTATTAAATATCATCAATAATTATGATTTACATTATTAATTATTACCAATAATTAGTGTTAATATTGATGTTAGCAATAGTAATATTAGTAGGTATTTAATTAATTCTAGAATATGTCACAAACGATTTTCTTTCTCAAGAGCTCAGAAGTAGGAGAGAGGCTATTATTATTTTGAACTACTCAAGTATTGGTATTAGTGAATTCCAGAAAAACATTGAATGGAAATGATTTTGCTCCTTGTAAATAGATAGAATCCACAAATTATACGATTCAAATGACTGTAATATTTTTATAGTCTTGTGTAGCTCAATGTTTGTCTGCTCTCGTTTTTATCTTCCTCCTATTTCTGCGTTGTATACTTGTCTTTTCTTATTGTAACTTTTACGAACTTTAAAAATACTTAAAATTTCTTTACGACAAATTTTAGAACCTGAAAGCTCTTCAAGCCATTGCCCTGTATTTTGTCCCACAATTAGAACTAGCTGAAACTACTTGATCATTAATTATTAAGTACACAAGCAAAGAATTCCACTTTCATTCATGGAAATGTTTGCTTCAAAGGTTAATAATTGATAATGTAAAACTAATATCTATCATCTTTAATTCATTTTTAATTTGAAATCCAAACAATTGATTGACATTTACATTTGTCTATTTCTGTTTAAACTCGTCACCCCTGACACGAATTTATTCCAACAAGGCTGCATATTCTTAACCATTTATTTTTATGTATAAAGATACATTATTTATGATAATTTTCTAAACCTTGTGCATATTTTCTGATAGTGTTGTGTTACAAAACGTTAGTTATTGATACAAACCTACAACAGGGAAGTGATATTATTATATTTAATTATATTATAATAGTATACGACGCTACAAACATTTATTCCAATTTAAAAATCAGGTTCAATATATGAAAGTTTTATATTTACTAAAATAATGAAAAGGATCGACAAAATATTGGAAATAAAAATTATTTTCACGCAGATGGAGTACAGAATAAAAATTAATTCGTAGTGGATATCGCGGACGTCGCTTCCATTGAAATAAACTCCAATAATCAATTCCATTCGAAATTAATATCTCCTTTCATGTATTAGACATAAATATAAATATGTATTGCAATTTTCACCTCAAAAGGAATTACCAACATAAAATTTTTATCCGTAAAACAGATGTAACAAAATTCATATTATTTTTTATAACCATTATTGGTGAAAATTAATAAATAATTCATAGAGTTTTTATGAAATAATGATTGTTTAGGAAGCAATTCATTATTCCTATTTTGATGTTTTTCTTGATATTCAAAAAGAAATAAATCGAAGTTAATTGTTAATGGAAGGATTACTGAAATTTTTACTTGGACAAAGGTCTGAAAATTAGATAATAGTTACAAATGATTTTATTGTATATATTATAATTAATTCTTGCAACAAACATTATTTTTGTCACTCAGAGTCAGTATGTCCTTGCTAATACACAGATTTAATTTTTTTGGGTTATTATAAAAGACATTATTATTTTTATTATTATTATTACTATTATTATTATTATTATTAGTTTATTCCATTGGTATCTACAATACGAAGTATAATTAATACTCGAGTACTTAATTCTAATTGACAACAGCACAGACCTTTGGCTTTGTAATCAATATACCGAATAATATCTACATAACAATAATATAATATTCATCTGTAAGGCTTAATTATTTTATCGTTCATTAAATCAGATTACCTAATTATTTAGTATTATTTATCAGCCAGTGTGACTGCCTTTCAATGTATCTTTAATTAAAACAGTTTTCGTCTTTACAATTCACTGGAATTTATTACAATTTGACGAACGAATAGAAGATGATTAAATGTCAATTTTAGATGCGTTATCGATTTGTTCAACATGGCTAACGGTTGGCACCGCTTCACCCGCTCTTTTCAGATACACAGCTTTCGTCTGGAAACGATCCCGGATTCCGGAAATGCGATAGCAGTGGTTGTGGTCTCCGTGGTTGCTTTCATCTGTCTGCTTCTTCTGGCCGGTCTCCTGGTAAGACTCTTATCTAAATTTCATTAATCAATTACCAAAATGCCAAATAGATACTAATCTGTTTGCGTGCCTTTCCTCCAACGTTAACAAGTCCCTGAAATTAATTTTAACCCTTTAGTTCCCAGTGGCATCGCCTTGATACCATATATTTCAATATCACCAATATAAAATCGACATTGCTCTCGCAATATTATTATTATTGTTACTAACATTTTTTATAAAAATATTTATTGTTTAACGTATATCGTCAAAGCAAATGTATTTCTCCTAAAAGCTTTTATTTGGGACCTAAAGGGTTAACTGATTCCCTTGTAACTATAATAATTAGAAATATTAATATTATATTTTTGTTTCCCAATAGAACAACAGACCTCATTTTATTCTTTTAATTGATGAATGGATTGAAATACAGTAATTCCTTCGAACTTTCATTTGAACCGGGTTTTAAGAAATCAGGTTGAAGAAGTAGGTAACGAATCGATTAGGAAATTATTAGAGAAATTGATTTAGTAATACGCAAGCTGATTCATAAGTCAATTGATATCACAGTAGCTGCATTTGTAAAGTTCCTATAGAAAAATTTGGAAAAGTCAATTTGACTGCTCGATCGTTTTAGTGTCAAGACGGCTTCACTGCGACTGAAATCACATCATAAGTCATGTTACATGAAAACATTATTTTCCATTTTGTTGCGTTGTCCACTTGAGAGACATATGTTAACAGTTAAAGCACGCCATCCAATTCGCACACACCTCATAAAAGCAAGATTGTTAAGGGTCTGAACTAACGAACGAAGCTTTAGCTGCGCAGGTCCGCAAAGGTCTATGTTCTCTGAAAGGCCTCGCCGTACTTGCATTAAGCTCATTTCACGTGGTGTTACGTATTCATCCATCCACACTCGCGATTTAACCACAGTGTACGTAACAACGCATCATTAGTAGATATGTGTGTTTGTGTTGTATCGCTTTTGCCGGTCGGAAGCAACCCCTAACGCGTACTCTAATGTCGGGGATTGTAGGTTCCATTCGAAATGATAGCAGTTTCTGCTGAAATTAATTTTGTAAGCCAGGGCGACCTTTGTTCGCTGAATAATTAATTCTCGGCAGGAAAATGGTTTCACTGATGTTCCGAACAGATACGTACTTACGTTACTGCAAAAGTTTCGAGAATCCACTGTCATTCAGTTGTTTGTCTTTTTCGTAAAGCTTCACATTTTGAAGTTTAGGAAGTTCTAACGCGATGGAGAATATAGTAATAGTGAAGGAGAATATTTTGGAAAATAGTAAAACCGTGTTCAAACTTATTTATGACTTTTCTCATTCTTGAAACTTTTGCTGCAACGTATTGAATTCATAGTGAGGCTTTATACAGTTTTCCATATGAAGAATACGAATTACTTTTTAAAATACACTGTTTTTACAGCTTTTTTGTATATAACTATTTTTAATAAAACTTTAATCAAATTTATTCACTAATATATTTAATAATTTAATAAATAACTTAATATAGTTTAACGGAAATATATACTGTTCAATTATTTATATATTCATTATAGAGAAAGTTCAAAAGTCAATGAAAGGAAAATGATTGAACTTAGAAAATAATGTCAAGTTAAAATTTTAAACGATGTAATTGAGATCTTCGTTAAAAATAATGTTATAAGAGAATCTAATATTTAAAAAGGTACATGACGTAGCGGAATGCATTTTACAATTTCACATTTTAAAAAAATTGAATTTAAAAATCGATGTATAAGATGCTGAAATGCTGTAATATAATTTTTATTTAAAATATGCACCACACGTTGACATGAAAAATTAAATTCGGCTAGTGACTGTACTGATGTCGGATTGGAGGAGTTAAATTTGGTCGAGAATATGGTACGTGCAGGCAGCAGGTAATTTTCTATGCGAAAATGAATAAAAAATGTAGAATGAAAGACTATAGCTGAATAGGGAGTTAAAAGTACGCTTTAACGCACTTGAATCGACAATGAACCGTTCCGCAAATTTTTAAGAGAAACCATTGTGTCCCAAGTTTCAACCTTTTATCTTGACCAAGAGCGTACATTTAAATTATAAAGGTTTCTTCTATTTAATTAGCCCTATTTAATTATACACGAGAAATTTCAAGAAATTCTTTTATATTACACCATAATCTACGTAAATAATTATACGTCAGAGGATTCGTTTCAAAATCGTACTCACATCAGATTAAATATTAAAAAATAGTAAATATTAAAAATATATGTAAAAATACGAAAAAATTTTAGAAAAATATCTGAATGAAGGTATATTACTGGAGTTTAAAAGTAATGTAATGTTCATATGAATATATATTATTGTATATAATAACTTGAGATTATTTGTATCTATTAATTATCAAACATTTTTTATTTGGAACCATATAAAATAATTATATTTAAAGGTTCATTTTCGAATGAAATAAATTTAAACATGTATACATGTACAAGTACTTTACAATACAATGGATTATTGTGCCGATTTATAACTCAGTTTGCACTTTTTGCAAACATTGACAATGACATAATATTATCTATAATTTATCGGCTGTCTTTTATTATGTCAATTTACGTCACTTTATCATAAAAAATAACACTGTGTCACTGTCACTGTTTATAAACCCAACACACGTAGAATTAATCAATAACAGCAGGACTCTGCATTCTGTTGTATTCAGTTAAAACTGTATCTGAAAAATTGATAAGCTTAATTAGTTTAATTGATAGTCAATAACTCTTTAACTTAAACAAGAAAAGTTTATCATTTATAAAGTAAATATTCTATATATTTTCTTATAACACATAATGTTCCATCGACAAACAATTGTCAATTTAATTTTGTTCACAAAATCAAATTCTTAATTACAACAATTTTGTATATAAATTTTTCTTGCAAGAAATAATTGTATAGACATCCTCAATATAAAATGATAATAAGAAAAGTATATTGTTTACATATTTTTTATATCATCATATTTCCATGATATTGAATTATGAATATCATGATACTTTTATATGATATTACATATTTCTTACGATTACGAGTATTTAAATACGTAATTTAGATTTTTTAATTTATTCTGGAAACTATCTAAGTATTTCAGACAAAAGTCTATTTGTTTGTTGATTTAGTTATTTAATGTATTTGTTATTATGTGATAAAGCAGTTTATTTCCAAAGAAAGTTGCAACACAAGTTTTACTTTCGACTGAGAAAATAAAACAGTTTCACAAAACACGAACTACCGCCACTGAACTCAATTTTACAACACGACTGCTGTAGCAGTCCATTGTTTCGTTTGTAAAGTGCAATTTCACTCTTTTTTGCCATACCCTTCTTTTTACATTAATCAATTCCTTGATTCATTCTTCATACAAATGGATGTTCTATGGTAAGGTCACTGAAAATCAATAGTTTACAAAATGCTCGTTTTACGTATCAACTATGGTGACAGTCGTGGTGAACTTTAAGTAAACTTCTAGTACACACATAAATGCCGTGATGAAACAAAGTTAGCATGTTTCTGTATTGATTTTTTAGTCAGAGTCCGATTACCAAGGAATCATTACACTAAATACATTCTACGATCACTAAACTACGAATCCTATGCATTTAATACAGTTGCAATAGCCTACGGATCATTATATTATAAAATACTTTAACTCACTGCGCTGGAAACTCTCAATGGCCACTTTATTTCATCCGGTAAAATCATCAAGCTTGATATTTAATTAAACTTTGTATACCCCATCAGTATGTAAAATATTGAAATAAGATAGCTTTGTTCCTTAATTCAATACGGTCATTAATTTGGTTTTTCTTTAAAAAATTGCATCTGTATCTCATAAGAAAACAATGAATTTTTTTAGTAAAAAATTTTCAAGCGTAAAGCACTAATTGCTACTTGAACAAAAATTTTCGTGTCATTATTACGAACGTTGCCATTCACACGGTCGTATAAATATCGTTTCCATCACTGTTAAAGACTTTAAATGTCCTCGCTACGGAAAGGCGAAAGGAAAGGATGAATATGCAAGTCCATTCGCTCGACTGTTTAACCCTAGATAACTAACCAGTCGTCGAAATGACGACGTACTACTTTGCGTATTATGATCGAACAAGCTTGGAATAAATATAGCGTTCTTATATGTCGAGGACATAATACAAACGTATGTTCCAAGAGCTTCAATTAAAACATTCACTGCTAACTATCTTCCTTTATTTCACTTGTCCCATGTTTTTATAAAGCAAGATACTTTTTTTGAAGTGTTTTTATGTAAGAACACTTCAATTATATTCATGTTCTTCATTGGCATCATCAAAACTGTTCAGAACAATGTAAAATTCCATAAAACTACATAGAACTGTATACAACATTATATTTTAACAATGGTTACAAGGGAACCTTATCAACCAGCACACATCAATTTCGATGAAACTTATGTAAGCCATATTTCAAAAATATTTAACACGTTTTTTCTTATCGGTCAATGTCTATTTCGAACGGGTAAAAGCATCTCTCAATGTTGAAGGTTGAAAGTATATCTTTTACAATATCTCTGAAACTAGGGCGTTTAGAAAATAAATCTAAATTATTCATTTCGAGGTGATCATTTTTAAGAAAAATTTCTTTGAGGGGATATGTTTTTTAATTTATTTTGGAAACTGTGTATGTGTTTTAGATAAAAGTCTATTTATTTGTTGATTTACTTATTTCATTTATTATTTGTTTGTTATTATGCGATAAAATAGTTTCTTTTCGTACGGAAACCATCAAAGAAAGTTACAAAACTTGTGTAGTGTTGCTTTCGATTGAGAAAATAAAACAGTTTCATAAAACAACGCATAATAACCGAGCGTTTAACATGGTTAACATGTAATCCTTATAAAAACTATAACAGTAGACTTTTTTTCGATTTCTTCATATACTGATTATAGTATTCAAATGAAACTATTTACTTTTCAAATAATTTCGGATATTTAACGCTTTTAAGATGTCAATAATTCCGAAATAAGAAAACTGAAACCAATCATTTTGACAGTTGTTTTAGCGTTAACACAGGTTTTAATTTCCGTATATCGCAATTGCCGATATTACAAATATATTAAATATTTGAAAATATTTTGAAAAATTAATAGTTTCGCTTTCCTAATGTAAGAAATATCAACAGAAATTAAAATGAATGTACTCTTATAATTTTTATAAGAACTGCACTGCTAGTCAAAAGTTTGGAACCACTTGATACATAACGTCACAAATGAAAAATTATATATCTTACAAGTATAAAATAACAATAATCATATATCTTTATGTTTAATTAACACACATGTGTTCATGCTCCTTTATCATATATAAAAATTCTCCAATAAAATTTGTTCACAAAAAATGATACTTTCTCTTTTAACCGATGTATTGGCACACTTTTGGCTGACAGTGTACGTATTAATCACATCAAATGCTCGGTAGTTCTAGTTTTAACGACATTTTTCTGTAGCGCGTCGAATCTTTTTACAATCCCGAGATCATTTGTGGTTCCGTGGTGTCAAGAAGAAACGCGATGCGCCGCGATACTTGTTGCGAACGAGGGATATAACGTTCATCCTTGAATCGATGATTAGATCGCGCAACAATCGCCGCTTCATTGATTTCCACCTTGCGTATTCCGTGTACGTACCTGAGCTCCGCTGTTGAAACGTGTTCCGCGAGGAGGAACATGTAGCTTGTTACATGATCGCCGATGTTTCGGTGATGTTCATCGTCGGCGAGCAGTGTGAATTAACGGGTACCAACGGCGTTATTTAGTTGGATGATATCGCAATACGTAGAGTGCCGTTTTTTTACTGAATTGCTTTAACAACTGTTGAGGTGCTTGTCAAAGTTCCATTAACTATGATCTATCATTGATGTCGGACATTAACTTTTATGCGCAGTTCCTGAAAACTATTTTTGATCGAAACGAATAATTTATGAAACGTGGAAATTTTTTAAATACTGAATGTTGAAGTCAAGATTGACTGTTTTGATCTGAAGATTGGCCTATAAAATCGTTCTTTAACGCGTTTGTCACAAAAGCTTTTAGCCGTTTATATAATATTACTTAAATCGTTAAATAAATAAATTACTAAATCACTAAAGAGATTTAAATTATTAATATAAATGGTATTAGAAGTAATCGTTAATGATTTGGTATCGGAGTCCTTACGTGACTCTATTAGGTAGTTACGTATTTTGTTAAATATTTTTATTCGACATCAGGTTTTCTTGTTGCAGTTGTTTTCAAGCAATTTGAAAGCTACAGTTATCAGTGACCACTGTGATAATTAATATATGAAGGATAACAATTGTTTTCGTTTTATAGTTAATGCATAAGTGATGTTTAAATTTGAATATCCCATTTTCTTTCCTCAAAATGAAATTCCTTAAAAATTACTTTGGGGGGACATTGTTATTGGATTAATTTTGAATTCTTTGGCTTTCAGCATATATAATCATTCTTAATGCTAATGACCATTTTACTAATCTTATTAAACATAACGATAAATGTAAATTCCACTTTTGTCAATACAACACAGTCAAACAATTACAAGACATCGATAAAACATAAAAGCATTGACATATGAAGTTAAACAGAAAGTTTTCTCGATAAATTTGATGAAAAAGTAATAACTTATTTTAAAAAGATAATTCATTTCTCATTTTAAAATATATATTCCCTCATTTCCTTATCTCTCAAACACAAAACAAACAAAAACTATCTGGAAAAGAATGAAATCCTTGAAGAAATTTCACAAATTCGTAAGAATTTTGCCAATAAAACTTTCTATTCAATTAAATACAATCTTGTCTGGTTGCTATTTGAAATTATCGTTGCTTCTGCTTTCTATATCACGTACAATAAATGAGTATAATTCCAACAGATACTCAGCGTAAAGCTTCGTGTCGCAGTCGAAGGCAATTCGAAGACGATCATAACTCGACAACCATCATTTCTATGCATAACATCGATCACAAAAAATTCACCTAATTCTCTAACAACTTCTTAATAGCATGGTATCATTTACCTATCATTTTCAAATCACTGAACGCTTTCTATTCTTCTACACTCTTCGTATTTTTGTGGGTTGATTCAATTTTCTTCATGATTTCAATCACAACAATCATGCTGCACCATATGTTCACGAACTTCCTTCAAGTGCAAATTTCGCTTCGAGTTTTGCTTAATTTTTTTGTTTCCGCAATCATCCAACGGAACGTTCCACGTTCGTTGAGCATTGACTCTAACTTTATTAGCACGGACACTCGGAATATTATCTTTACCTGCTAACACTTTACATTTTGACAAACAGCGTGCCACGTGACTTGTGCTGACATTGAAATTCCGCCTCGAGTACCTTAGAAACAATTATTTTGCAGAGTGACTGAGTTTTTTCATGTTGTGTTACTTTGATTAGTGTTGGAAACGTTCCACAGCTCAATTTTAAGAGCCCGAGCTTTCAAAGCTCAAGATTTGAGCTTCAAAAGCTGAAGTCTTTAATATTTCAATCTTTATTATCAAAGACCCGTATCGTCTGCTACTGTATTAACCCTTTGCCTTATAATATCGTGTCGTACTCATGGTTATTCAGTTCAAATTAACCCTTTGCTGTCTTATTAATTTTATTTACAAAATTTATGACCTGCTTTTACATTTCAGATAAATTTCATGCAATAACAAATCTTTATTTTACATAAATTATTTTAATAATAAACATTTTAATTTCTATTTATCATTTACAATTTTACACTTTGAACAATTTTGCAACAAGTATATAAATAAATATTACAATTAATAATAAAAAATTGTATAGCTGAATAATGAGCAATCAAAAATAATTTTCTTTACAGTAAACGTAGACAGAGAAGGAGCATAAAGTTCCTCTCTTTCTCTAGTAAATTATTAATCATAAAGTAATTCTAAGGAGCGAAGTTACAAAGAACATCATAAGGCAATTGGTTAACATCGTAAAGTCTAAGCCTACGAAATTCAAAAATTTAAGGCTTCAAAGCTCAGACCAGCTTTCAAAGCTTCAAAGTTGAGCCCTACAGCTTCGAAGACTGAGCCTTTAAAGTTGAGCCTTAAAGCTTCGGAGCTTTATGAAGCTCTAACTGTAAGCATTCAAAACCCAGCCTTTAAGATTGAGCCTGGAAGCTTCTTACAACGGTAATTACAATAATGAATGACAGCATAATAATGATTTCTTTGCAGTTTATAATGCGGAAAAGGCAAACGAGATTCAATTACGGCGAAAGGTGTCGTCCAGTGTCTTTAGACGCTTACAGTGTGGACAGCGTTTCAGCGTACAACAGCGTGAGACGCAAAGGAGTGGCCAGATCTTCGAAAAGAAGTTACGGAAATCCCACGTTCGAGGATTCGGTAAGTATTGATCAGCCATTGCACTTTGCACGTTTTCATTAGAGGATGCGAAACAGCGGCGCTGTACATCGCAATTGACGTCTGACGATAAACACGTTCCGCGCCACGGAAGTTTCAGTTATATTTTGCTTATGAATTGTATTGAATATAATTTAATATTTTAATCAAAAATATCAAGTTTTTGGTAATTTTTATATGCTTCAACACGTTGAATGCCATAGGCGAACCAAATCGAATATTATAGGTCACTCAATTAAACCACGATTATTTGAAAACATTTCTATATTATAAATAATACTAGCTAATATGGTGACATTCCGCTGGATGAACGTGCAATAATAACAATGCAATTCAAGCAAAGGATTTAACACTAGGTTTACGGAACGCATCAAATTGACGCATATTGGATTTTAGAAATATTATTTTGTAAATGTTTATGCCGATTTTTATTGATGCGATCACACTGACGTGTAGCCCAATCACCTACTATCAAATCTCCAGTTTCCACAATCTAAATAAACGAGCATCAATTCTTTTAGAAATAATAGAATGAAGTGTACAATAAATGCCCGTAAACCTAGTGTTAATATTACATTTTTTCCATTTCGAGTATTTTGTATTATGAAATCGTATGGTATTCAACGTGGTAATATTGTTTCTCTATGTTTTCACTGCTTTGCAACGTATTGCGCTATCAGTGACCATGTGTCCCTTAATATTTTCTTATAAAAATTGGCGTGTATCACATGTAGTACACGTGGCACTGGACGTGTTAACATCCTGACTTTCGTATCGTGATTTATGAGTTATTGTTTTATTTCGACCTTTTAGTTGATTTCGAAGCAAAGACTTTGGCGAATCATTGAGAACTTATAAATAATTTGAGTTTATATGTGAACAATTTGTAAATAATAATACTGAAACTTTTTGTATAGAATGTCTATATGATGGAAGATAAATATTGTTTGTTTTCGTTCATGTGAATAGCAGTTTTCTGCTATGGAATATATATCTCGTTTATACCAAGCACACGTATTCTTCTGTTTACAGCATGCATTTAACACGTTCTTGTAAATATAAATTAATTGCACAGGTAAATTATTCAGAATTGTTTCCCTGTAGTATTTGAATTATGTTATAGTGGAACCTTTTTGTAGAAATGTGATGTCATTTTCTGTTTTCACTCGAAGAAGAAACATTATCCTTATGAAGAGAAAAAGTTTGTTTAAATACCTTAATAAGAATGATTTTATAAAATTAGGAATTCGTAATTAATCCTGGTCCTCTCATTTTCGAATACATGCATCTAATTCAGATCAATCTACAGGCTTGAAACGAATCGAGTTTCATGGAATTAAGCGAATGTGTAAGATTTTTTATTTTTAATTGTTGTTTGATTGCTCAATTAATCCAAGTTTACTACATTCATATGTATGATAATTAAATCAGAGATTTTATAATTCATTAAGATAGACAATAAAATTTTTCAATGCCATATCTGTAATTCTAAGAATTCCAATATTCTTAATATCTTTTTAATATTTAAAAAATTTTAATGGATATTGTATAATAATGTTTGAATATTTTATATCCCTTCCTTAATAATTAACAAATAATCAGTTTTTGTTATCGCTTCCTAAAAAACATAAAAAATACAAATTATCAGAAGCATTGTAATAATAATTATTATTGATTACAACCAATTCAATACTTCCAAATATTAATTTCATACAATATCATAATTTACATCATTCAACGATAGAGATTATCAGATGAAAGCTGAATTAAATTAAATTAAAATTAAATTGACAGATAATAAAATTAACGTAAATTTCATACAATATCAATTTCCACGTTTTCTAACAATGGAAATAATAAGATACAAAATAATTTACACATACAGAAGTTAATTTATCGCTTAATAAAGGGAATGTATTGCAGCACGATATAACGAGCCACATTTCCCCAACAATAGAACTCATAAGATAAAAAATTAATTGTAAGTACAGACGCGAATTTCGGGCACAATAAGCATCATTAACACTAGAACTACCGTAACAGTTAAAATGACTGGTATTGATTTTTTTGTTCTGCAATGATTGATATCTTAAAAGCATTGAATATTCGAAACGATTTGGAAAATACATAGCCTTACTTAAACACTATAACGAATATCTGAAGAAATCAAAAACTGATTGTTACAATTTTTACGAGGATTACATGTCAATCGTATTAACCCTTTACACTCGATTTATTTTTAATATTGTTGGGTATAAACTTGTATTTACTTTTAGTGAAATGATTTAAAGTAATTTACAGCGATAGAGTTCAACGTTTTATATTTTCTTTATTTATTATTATTATAGTAAGATTTAATCTATATAATCTCTTTTTAAAGTACCACAAAGTATAACAAATTTTCATTGTCATCTCCAGCATGAGATACGAGTGCAAAGGGTTAAATGAATCGCTCAGAAGCCAATTGAGTTAAGTCCAGAACACAAAAATTGAGAAAATTAATGTTTCGGCTTCTGAAATTATTATACAACACGTTCAGAAGCTATAAAAAGAAGGACTTTCTAATCTAGAAAAAACGAAAGAACGAATAAATCCTTTAATAATTAAACAAAATATTATTTACTCCATTCAAATTTATAACAATCAGAAAATGTCAAAAAATGGACTTAACCGCATTGCCTTCTGAGCGATTCATATGCTCGGTAGTGCTGGTGTTAATCGTGAAAACAGTGGCCATACAGGCTGATTAAACGGCGCATTTAAGGACTGACGATTTAAATGCATCAAGCCAGCGTTCGTTTAAATTGATCAAACTGCAACAACTCTGAAAGGAATCGTGAAAATCGAGTCTGAGGGCAAATGACGGCTAGCCAGCCAGCGAAACTGCAGTTAACTGTGTTAATGTCGCGATAAAAGCCTCGAAAATTGTGTTTCTACGAACGGTGTGTTCTCGTTCCAGAGCGCTATACCGTCCCACCCTTTGAATTTTGCCGGGCTTTCATCTTTCTGTAACGACGTTAATGCAATCAACGAGGAATTCTCCGGTATTCCGCAAGTTTCGGCGAAGATAGACGAGCTGCCGGCCGGGGCTGAAGTGAAGAACAGATACGCGAACGTGATACCTCTCCCGGAAACGAGGGTGCCGCTCCAAAAAATTAACAACGATTCTCTTACGGAATACATTAACGCCAGTTACGTCAGGGTAAGTGATACCATTACCAACCCTTTGCCCTATGTTTTATTTCTCAACTATAATCGACACAACTACTTTTGTCGTTAATAATTTGTTAGGAAAAGAGAAAATTTGTATGTTTATCCTATGCCTACGTTTACTCCGAATATTAAGATTGATAATAGAAAATTAGAAATTATTTTTATTTTGGAAAGTTAAGTAACGCTTAGATTTGTCAAATTCAATTGAACATTTTAGTTCAAGGGTTCTTTGGTAACTCAGTGAAATTTCAACTACCAGATGAATCAAAATGACTATCTATTATAGACAATCTAAAATATAAATATATTTAGATTTCAATAAATGCAATCTTATAATTTGTACAAAACAATCTGAAATAATGTATCGCGATAATTCTAGTGTTAAATGAATTTCGAATTCCCTTCAATATTGTAATTCCGCATTCAATCTTCGGTGTACACGTGACTATGTATCTACGTAACAATGCACTTCGGCGTGTCTCGTGTGATCCAAGCAGAAGTAACAGCTAACACAGCGTTTTGTCTGCATGAGAAAAGGATGTTGCATAATGCATTACGAAGAACACGAATGCTTATTGCATAAGCCTCAAGCGCGGCAATACGCGGAAGCAGGACGGACGTTAACACCTGTTCCTACTGAATGATTAGGAACTTTAAATTATGCCTTGTAATAAGACAAATGGTAATCGATGATCTTTAAAACTATTAATTACCTTGTTATTGTGATCATATTAAAATTATGGGCAATCGTTATTACACTAATCAGTTGCCTTAAATGCATAGGAAGTTCTAATGTAGAACACGATAGGTCTTAAATTAATAAGTATAATTAATTTCAAATATAGTTTCATTGCTGTTGTAAACTAAACAGATAATATTAAGAAAAGTGATTTATATAATTGTTAGAAATCATAGTTTCGCTATCATTATAATTAGGAAAAAATGTTAAATGAAAAAATAAGTAATTCAACAAATATATTATTTATACGATTATATATGTACAATACTGTTTTTATGACAATGCAGATATATTTTATTCACATGCATTATATCTGTTTATTGGTTTGTATAAAAAAATATTGAATTAATGTATTTAAAAAATGAGCGAATTACAAAACTATTTAAAGACGTATATAATATTTCTTATTTCATACTTTATAGAGCAAAAAGTATGAACATATTTTTTATCTGTTCAGCTTTTTTATTTCATATACAAAATCTGGAATAAAAATCAAGTTTTAGTAAATAACTTTTAATAAATAATTTATATAAGTAAAGTGAAATTTAGGTTGTGTACTGTGATTAAAAATGTAGAATTTGATGATGTTTTAGCGATAGTTTGCACATATACATACATATATGTATATTCAATTAGTCGGCATGCATTAGTGTAGATCGAATGCATTCAGCGCAGTGCCCTCCGGTTTGTAATTAACATCGGCAGGGAGTAGCTAATCAATACTATTAATCAATATCCTAATCCCGTGATCACACGCTTATTACAAGTATTAGCTAACTTGGACTGACTGAAACCAATTCCGTTTTAAATACTAAATTCCTGTTGACATATCGGTGTCAGTAAATTGATACTAAGTACTTTATTGATTAATGTAAATTTACATTGAAACGTCTTACCGTTTTTATGAAAATACAACTTACGTTTTATAGGAATGAATTCTCACTGAAATACTGAAGAAAAATTATTCTAATCATCTCAAATTGTCTTCGACAAAAATTAATTCATTGACTGAAATAACCATCTGTAAGCACAACTCATTGTATTTCAGAATAATTACGTTATAAATAAATAAATGATAGATTAATAAATTTATATATATTATATTATTCGTTAGTTTAAATTAAATATGGTTTTTCTGCTATCAGTTTTTACACTTTACAGTAAACGTAGATATAGACAAGTGTGGAATTCTCCTTTTGCTTCTAGCAAATGATTAATGTCGAAGTAATTACTGCAGGCGCAGTTTTGAAATAAATCATAGGTTAAGGAGTTAAATTAGTTTAATGAACTCTAGAAGAATAAAAATTAATCGATTAAATTAAGTGCGAATCGTTCGTTGCAGGGATTCTACTAATTTTCACTGTTTAGTAATGATTATTCCCCTTTATCCAGGGACCAAAGAACGCGATGCGGTATTATATCGCTTGTCAAGCACCAATGGAGTTGACCGTTACCGACTTCTGGAGAATGATCTGGGAGCAGCAGTGCAAAGTGATCATCATGTTAACCGACCTCGTTGAAAATGGAGTGGAAAAGTGTACCGAGTACATTCCACCCTCAGAAATAACTGACTGCCACCGGTTGTACGGTGATTTCCAAGTAACTCTGAAGAAGAGAGAAACCAAAGAAAAATATGCCATTTCCACGCTTCATTTAAAGGTACATAACAAATTCTTATTCTAAAAGAGCATTCTATGCATTTATGAGAAATACGAGTGCATATAATGCAGGGTCTTCCATTCTAATAAGTAAATGCTATTATTTCTGAAACTACCCGTTATATGGAACATGGCTGAATTGCAAAGAAATTAATTTTTCATTCTGTTTCTACACGTCAGTTTGGGAAATTTCTTATTTTACAAAAAGGTAGATTCTTTACTTATTCTGCTTATATGATTATTAAACAACACTTTTACCGTTCATTTACCAAGTTATCAGAATAAGAAACACGATTTGCCTGACATTATGAAAATCAATTAATTTCTATGCATCTTCCAGATATGTTAATATATACCATTACAGATCATTAAACTTTCTCATATTATATTTGCATCTGATAACCATAAGATTATGTTCCTTTCTTTAGTTCAGTTTCAAGTTTCAATTACAGTTTACTTGAAATTCTAGGCAAAACTGTTATTAATATATCTTAGTAATGTAATCTAATTACACAAGACACAAACTCGTTAATTATGCGCATAATGCTATTAACCGTTCCCAGTTATTATATAATGTATGTTAATAGAATGCGGGCTCTAGGAAAATCTACGAACATAAAATTAATCTGATATAAAGCTCCTATTTTATACTTAATTAAAGACGACCTTTAATGGAAAAGCTAAATTCTCTGTTATTTCTAGCTTTCTAAGTTGGTCTAGCAAAAATAAATTTGCTTTAATAATTGAAATTTAATTAAGTACAAGACTTCCAATTATGCTGCATGCGTCATTCAACTATCATCGAATCGTTATAGCTTAAAGGTACACCTGACCCTCGATTTACGCGAACTTTTTTTATACCGTAAATTATAGCACTATTTACGCGGTGGTTTTATGCACGATCCTAATTTACACGATCTGAATTCATTGACACCGACTAAAATATACTTTCGTTTTCTGAAATGTCATTATTATTATTTCTTTTGTTTGGCTATGTGCAATAAGTATGTGTTTCGAAAACTTATACCGACTTTTCTTTCCAATATTTTGTTTTCTCTTGTACCGACAAACTCTACGCGATTTTCATTCGCGTAAAACGAATTAATAACTTGGAAATGAAGCTGGAATCTCAGTTTTTTATTCTGAATTTTCATATAATATTATCGTGGAGGATCTCCTCTTAAATGTTCTCCCACCTGTTGCTGAGGACCCTACATAAAGCAACGTTCAATATCCTCACATCGCGTAATCAACACCTGAACTTAATAGATTAGTCCAAAATTGTGATATTAACAATAGCACAATCTGAAATTATTATGTTACTTACTAATTTGTTAAACATCGACATTAAATAATTATATCAATAACTGCAGTAATAAGGATTTCAATTCAATATCAGTTTAGCTCCAATAGAAATCAGAATGGCAATCGTACATCGATAAATTCTTTTAAATAACACAACGTCACAATTTATTCTGACATTATTATTTAAAGAAAAATTATGCTTTTATATTGAGCCTTTAAAGCTTCTATCTTAACCTTTAGAGTAGTGTTTTATATTCTTAACTCTTTGTGAACGGGGGCTTTTCAAAGTACTCAAAAACCTCAGCAGAGGAAGCTAAATAATAGACTGAATTCTGAACTGCTAGAACAAAAGGAAACTACGTACTGAGCTTTGAATATTTTAGTAATTAAATTATTCGTTCCCAATTCTGTATTCTAGATATGAAACTTTGATGTCACTAGTATGACGGAATCCGTCCTCAAAGGGTTAAGGTTCTATAGGTAAAATGTTAGGATATCATATAGCTTCCCACTTTATACCACGAAAACAATCATACTGTTTATTTTACTTCCTCCCTCTTACTTCGTAGAATCAATGTTCTACTATAAAACAATCCTGATTGAGAGCACCTTCATCGAACAAATTGATATCATTGTACTGTATAACATTCAAGGAGGCAGGGACGACGCAACGAGTGCGCATAGAAGAACCTAACCTACAGACAATTTTTATATTTTTCTGTTCAAAATCGAGAATTCTTTTTATATCTTATGTAGGTTTATTATAAGAAGATTTTCAGAACAATACAAAATATGGAAATAAGTAGAGGAAAAAGAAATTTTATTTGTTAACTCAATCTTGTATTAATTTATTATAAGAAGATCTTGAAAATAATACAAAATATGGAAATAAGTGGAATAAAAGGAAATATTTGTTAATGTACAGTTTAAAATAATATTATGCCGTGAAAAGCACGATATCGCGTTTAATAAAATATTAGGCACGTTATCGTTAATTTGTAATTTAAAAGCAATTATTTCAAACGTGTGTTGTAAATATGAGTAGGTCGATACTTTAATCAAAGTAAGTTAGAATATAAATTATTTTGCCTAATTTTTGCATTGTTATGTAAATTGTGCGTACCACGTAGATTTAGGAGCAACGCAATAAATATTTCCTGTGAACGCAGGACTTTAATAATTTCTCCCGCTCGTAGCTGCATGACATATGACTTAAACGGATAGAATTATTAAACACGTGACCAATGAATAAATGTGTCGTCCAAATACGTGACTAAAAACACAACATATTTTTAGGAATTCAATACATAAATTCTATAACAGAAAATTTTACAGAAAAATTCTCTCTGTTCTACAATTAAAAAAATGAAACTGTATCGTCACATCAAATCATCTATTACTTAACGGAACAATAATATTCCGATAATTTAACGCGATAATAATTAACTCACAACAATTTAAGAGGAAAATCTCATTTTTTCAATAAAGGATATAGATTCAACCTTTATAGAAGAAAATATAAATGTCTTTTAATTATAACATTTTTATCTATGAGCTGTAAGAACTGTATTTCTGAATAAATTCAACTAAAAAAAATTCACGAAACTTAACGAAAGTATTGTAAAAACATATGTAAAGTTTCAACTAAAAGACATTCATATTTTTTGCATAAATCAATTGTTTTTCAATTAAATCTCCTTTTTCCAGAATTTGGAGAATAACACGTTCAGGGAGGTGTATCATATTTGGTATTTGTGGCCTGTCAATGGCGCACAATCGGACGGAGCGGGCTTGATAGCCGTGCTTCTTGAGGCGAGGGCACTCCAAAGGGGTGGCCCTGGACCCATTGTGGTCCACTGTAGTCCCGGCACTGGACGCACGGGAACGTTAATAGCTCTTGACCTAGGAATTAGACAATATGAGATTACGAGAACTGTGGACGTGCCAAGGGTCGTTTACACTATCAGACGGGATCGTGCTGGGGCTGTCCAGACGAAGGAACAATATGCGTTCATTTATAAGGTGATTTTCTTTGTTCCTGGTTTTCACTTTTAATCAGTTAACTACATTTGTCGAATATACGCGTCATCTTAACACTAAAACTACCAGACGGGTCAAAAGGGCCTACTCTTGATATCTTCTTTTTGCAATTGTTAAAAAAATAACAGATGTTTCTCCGAGAACTTCTTAGAGATATTGATGTAGTAATGCGCAAACTGAATTGAAAATCAATTAAAGTCTGAATAGATGCACTCTTGGAGTTTCTATAGAAAAATTTCAAAATGTTAATTTAACTGATCGGTAGTTTTAGTGTTAAAATTCGAAATGATACTAATCTTTGCAACGATGAATTAGTTATTTTTTCAGATATATGTAATTTTTTGTTTTGGTACAGTTTCACGGTGTTTCAAGAGTATATATGTACTTTATGGCTTGATTTTGTTGCGCGCACAATGAGATTTTTCAAACTAAATTCCATAATTAACTTATTAACCTTTTAGGGATGAGATTTTTTCACATTTTTTAAACTTATGAAAACTTGATGAAACTACTAGTGAAAAAACATAGCTATGAAATAAAAATAAACGAGTTAAACGATAAATATTTCTTACTGGAAACAGAAACAGAAGAAAAGACAAAAATTGAAAAGCTGATTAATCGGGCAATGTAGGAATTGATTCAATGTTAAATGAATGAACAAAGAAGGAGAATCTTAAGTTAAATTTTAAAAGCGTTTTTGTGATCGGTCGCGGTATGTTTAGTGTTAAACATTAGAAAAAAAGAAAACCACATATCAATCTCTCGTTATTTGAAAAATAAAATTATCCATTTTCAGCTTTCGAATTTGGTCATATCTTATAAGAAAGTACAATTTTAATTTATTAAATAAACAAACAATACGTAATTAATTTAAAAGTTTCAAATTTAAGACTTTAATGACCAATTCGATGTTTAGATACATATCATAAAATTGTTATTCAAAATTGTCTCTTACTAATACAAAAAACTGAAAATGTGCCATGAAATTCGAATTATAGTTTCAATGTTTCTTCTGATAAGTGTCTCAAAATTACACTGCAACATTTGTGGGAAATACATTCACTTGGAAGTAGATGGTAAGATTTGTAAGAATGGCACTAACAGCAGATGGTAAAATCTCCTAAAGAATTACCGACGGTACATAAACGCGTATACTTATTATTATGCTTAAATATACGACCATCAAAGTATTAACATTAACATACTGAAACAAATTCAAAAATTTAAATTAATTATAAAAAAATTCTTTTTCCATCATACAATTTTGGACATAATATTCATAAAGATTGTAGTGAGAAACGAATACAGTGTTTTGAATGTTTTTCTAATAAATTCAGATCAAGTTTGCAATTTTAAGGTTCTAATATGTAAATGTCAGGAAAATATACAAAAAATGCTTTCATTGATGATTGTATGAATAAAAAAATTGAATTTTTTTATATCTATGTCAACATTGACAAAAAAATGATTCAATTAGAATATGGTGAATTCTTATGATTAAATTTTCATTTTTCAGGCTTTAAATTTGTACGCTACTAAATTAGCCGGCGGTGTATTGGATTCAACGTGAATTAATCGAGTGAAGATCGAAAATCTTTTGCGTCGAAGAGAGATTAATGCAGATCAGAAATCTGTTGTATCAATGAAGGGTAAAAGGAACATCACCAGAGGCGACGTACAGCGCGAGATTATGAAACACTCGAGTTCTAAGATTTATCTAAGTAGGAAGATACTATGTAATAATTGAATTAAAAAAGGCGACTTGTGATAAGTGGACCATTCCGACGATCAATTATCGTCTCTATCGATTTTTACTTGATCTATTAGGAACTTGAGGAATTGATAAGAGAAAATTGAGACACCAGTTCCCATTTACTTGTCTTTCTCTTTCGGCCTATATTACGTCTATTATAATTATACAATTGCTAATTACAACTTAAAAGGAATTTTCACGTAATATTAGGACGATTCTGGCGAAATAAATAATATTACAATATAATATTATTAGAAAGTAAAAAATAAGACAAATTGATATTATTGGAAGGATTATACCGTTCTGTTATAAATTTCTGATATGGCTGTTCCATAAAACTGCAAATTTTCGTTTATATTGACAAATGATACTTCGTATACGTTTTCTATTAGGTTTTAAGTGGAACTTATTTAATTGAGGAATTTGCCGGTTGCTGTAAATGAATAAATCCCAAAGATATAACATTTTTCACATCAGTTAAACCGAATTTCGGAAGTTACAATTCTTAACATTTATTCGATAAGAACAATTGAATCTAAAGTCATCACATTTTAACGATTATGAAATGGAAGCAATATGATTCATGCAAAATTTAGTAACCTGAATAATTTTAGCAAAATGTTTTGTTTTTGATTTTTTAAAATTTCGGATTTTTCTATCTTTCTACAATTCTAGATTTTAAAATCCTACGATATCTTTCTTTTGAATTTATTCAGTTACAATGATTAAACAAATATTTTTCACTGATGAATTTTAATCGATGTTTTATTAATGTAAAAGTTTTATACGTTATAGAGGTACAGAGTATCACAGACTGATACTTTTTACTATATTCCTTAAGCTAAACAAAATTTTAAATCACAGCTCATACATTCAGTTGTAAATGAAATTAAATTCTTTTATTTTGTACATTTTATTTTATTTTCTATAAATTATTCTTAAAACATGCATTATGATACATAAAATTAATATGTACTGTTTTTAAGAAATTTTATGACCGAAAGGAGAAGACGAAGTAAGAGATACCTCGTTCGAGTGAAAAAATACGAATCGGGAGGCAAAAATTCATTTGTGATATTCGAACTATTTGTCGACGTTATATAGCTTCATGTTTCTGAAGTCTCTACGATTTCGTAAATTTCTTTTTATTGTAGGCTTTGCCTTCTTTGTCAATACTTTATTATAGAGATATATGTATATGTATTATATGTTGTATATTTATAGGTAAAATTAATTAAGCATAGATTGAATATTTAACGTTGGTAGCTGGTAGAATTACTTCAGAAAGGCTGTCGTGGCTAACGATTTCTTTTTATAAACATTTCGCAGCTAGAAACTTTCGATGATAACAAGATATCCTTTTTTGAGAATTACACGTCTGTAGAGTGTTCGTCGTAATATCCCGCACAATTTTTTAGCAATTACGAGAATTTCATGGAATAAAAAAAAATAAAATACAACATTTTATCCATTTTAACTAAAATAGAAAATTGAGAAGACAACAATTTTGAAAGTATATTTTCTTTATTTTACAGATTTAAAAGTATATACTATTTACGAAGTCAAAAACAACTTACAAAAATTGGATTAATTGAATGTTGAGAAAAACTCATACACTAATAAGAGTTCTATCACATGGTGCAGGACAGATACAATAAAAATATAAAAAATTAACGAATTAACACTAGTCGACTTAAATCAAAATTTGTAATGAATTTATTAAAGTACAAATATTTCTTCTCTTATTTTCATTAAATTGTCGCTAGTACATTGTTCTATTAAAGTCCTTACCAATTTATCCAATAGTGTACAGAAAAAGTATATTCTTTTGCATTAATAATGGTTGCAAGAAAATGTGAAAACTATTTGGTTTTATCAATCAAATTTTCTATAACTTCAGAGTATCCTAATACTTATCTTTATTATGTCATTTTATTCTCTGTTAGAAACAAGTATATTTCATCTATTTTATTACCGTACATGTCTTGAAAATTGTGCGCATTATTACCGTAAACATATTCATGTATATGAATTATACAAAGTGAAACTTTTGTATAGTGGCTCATAGTGTTATTCACATACATTCCGAATAATTATGAAAACGGTCACGTTATCTATACTCCTTAATCCGTTTCAGTTTTTATTTTTCTATTTATAGAACAATCTCGTAGTACCTATTTTGCCCGCTTCTAATGCAAAGGATAAGAGTATGTCATTTGTATAAGTCAATGTGACGGTCTTGTTTGAAAATGTTTATGGGTCACTGTAAATATGTGTACATGATAATATTATTTTTTAATACTACGATCTTTTTAGGCGAGTAGTATTATGTTTGTAAAGATCCAGAGAGATTACAGAATCGAATCCGTTCTTTCCTTCTTCTTTTTCCAATCGACCTAAGTATTACCGAATTATTGTTGTTATTGTTATTGTTGCTGTTATGATTGTACAGATTATTCGACTCGTAGCACGTCGCTCTCTACAACTGCACATAGAAACCAGTCAGAGATAAGTTTAACCGTGTCATTTCGTGAGAATGAAAAGCAAGAAAAATGCATTCTTTGTTTGTAGATGTTCGACTCTTCGATTAGTATCGCAATTTCAGTGAAATGTTACGGCGTAATTGCCGTTGATCGCCATTTTTCCGGGATCTCGACAACATTTGAGAGATGGGCTGAATCATCCCGTAAATTTTGTCGTATTTCCCTAATAAATGTATTTCAGCGTCGTCATTAGCGATCGAAGATAATTAAACCTTGCAATAAACGTGAACGCTTATTCACGTGATTTACGATTGTAAAAATAGTTACTTTTATTGTCTACGTTTTCTGTATTAACCTCTTGCCTTATGACAGCGTATCAGATTCATGGTGAAGATTAAATTAAATATTATTCTCCTGTTATTAGTTATTATATTTTAGAATGAACGTGGGGATAGAATATGTCCAGATTTTTCTCTTTTTTCAATAAATTATTAATGGCAAAGTAGTTGCATCGATCTGAGTTGGAAAATAAATTGTAGGGCAAATGGTTAATTTTCTTAACAATCTTGTAAATTATCAGACTTTTATGTACATTGCAGATTCTTGTTTGATCCAGAGTAGCGAATTTCTGTGATTGTTCGGTTCTTAAATAATTCCATATGATTGTTCATAAATCACTCAAATATAATATACGTAATTACAATTTTATTGTACAAGACTTAATCTCGATTCCTTTTACGTATTTTTAATATGTAGAATGGTTAACAAGAATCTTTAATCATTTTCAAATCTATGAAGTCCGCGGATTTGTTAGCAAAGAATTTACAAGAAATATTCGAAATGATAAAAAACTTTAAAAAAGTAACGTTTCTAGACTGAACCATGCATAATGGAAACAAAAGACGTCCATGAATCTGCGATCAATTGCATATACGCTTAGGAATTTTACGCTAAACTTTTAAACGATAAATAAATAATAAATGTAACTATGAAACCTAATAAAATTAATCGACAAAATCTATGGAATAATTTAATAACGTTACCGATGCGTTATCAATTAAACTCTGTATGAATCAATGTTCTACAAAATCAAAATCGTACTCTTATCTCTTTAAACCTACTACATATATGCAACTATTAGGGACACTCCAATTGTTCTTCAAATTATTAGCATTTATACGAAGAAAGATGAGGGACACAGGGTTAATTTGTAGTTACTGTCAACCAATTATTTGTAACCATATAGATCAATTGATAAGATTCTTACTTATAAGAGCAATTTTAAGTAATCGACAAAAATATTATAACAGTTTATATTTCACTTGTCAAAAGACACTTATGTAAGATGGTTTTAAAATTATTGATCGACAGGAGTATGACAGTTATCGAACGTTTATAATTATCATAATAATTTGTATTCACAAGCATGCAGAAGTCGTCGATATAATATTTCATATATACTTCAGCACGATTATTGCCAAACATAAATTTATACCTTCATAGAGTTCTAAGGGATAGATTCTAACTATAAAAAAGTAGAAGTAAAAGCATAATGATCTCATGTACTAAAACTCGGTATTAAGGTGAATTAAAATTTCTTCGAAGTAAGCAAACAATACTTTTCTTAGCCGCCATTGTGACTAAGAAAAATGGTTGCTTTCAATGGAAGGTAGAAGAGAAGGTCTGGTAGTGATGTAGCTGATACGTGAGATTTTTTATTATAAACGTAAAATGTGTGGCATGTCAAGTGTTAAAACGTACGTAAAATTAGAATGTTTTTTACTATTCGTCGAATACTATTTAGATACACGCGAAAGATGGTGTAACCATATACATGTAGTAGTATTTTTGTCTTACTTAACATTGTAATTGCTAAGTAAGTAGCACGTAATAATCGTGATAGTATAAAACATTTATGTGTGATATCGTCAAATATATTGAATGTGCAAATTAAAAGTACCGTACAGTTCATGGGTCGTGGAATATTTGAACCGGTTTTAATGCACCGAATGAATGTTATTTAAATATATTAACCATTATAACAAGGAATTTCAGGAAACATAACCGGATTGTCCTCCGATGTATGCCCACTTCTGTCATTGTTTGCTTTTGCAATTGCCCAACAAAACACTAATTACGAAAATAATATTATATTCGTTAGCTCTCTTTAACAGATAAAAAAAGTAATTAGCTATTTGCTTATCATTCAAGTTTCATTGTATCTAAATAAACCATTGATACATTTGTTTACGAAACTTATAATTGTTTTGGATAATTATAGTTTCTCCGAAATATTGCTTACTTTTACAATCATAAAAACAAAAGAATTTAATAATTATCTGGATACTTTTAAATGCTTATAAGGATTATAAATGGATTGAACCTTGTATTTCAAAAAATTGCCGCAACGAAATGTGTTCATTAAAAGTGGTCGTTATTTATGGGACAATCTGAGATTGAGATACCAAAAAAGAAGCTAAATATTTAGTGATATACGTGTTTAGTATTGGTATTATAAGATATCTATATTCAACGGAAAATAAAGAAAGACGTGTTTGTATAACAAATCCTTTATAAATGGCGAATAAACGCGTATCTTTGTCGCGGATATAAGAGGAACCGAATGTTCGCGAGTTAATATGTATGCCTATTAATTCGATTTAAATCTACACGTATAATTATACTAGAGAGATTGGAAACCGGCGAACAAAATATGATAACTTTGTCGAATCGCATAGTTGTCATGATCACTGTGTTGACTACGCCAAACCATAGTTGGACCAAGAAAATAAATGTAATTGTTCGATATGTACAACTTCGTTTAAAATTATTCCTTACCTTCACCTTTATTCAAAGTTTATTATTAACATTAAAACTACCAGACGGGTCAAAATGACCTATTCTTGATTCCTTTTTTTTGCAATAATTTCAAAAATTAAAAATTCTGTATGCAATTATTAAAGAAATTGATTTAGCAATATGCAAACTGTATTGTAGATTAATTAAAGTCTCAATAGATGCCCTCTTGGAGTTTCTTTAGAGGAATTTCAAAATATCAATTTAACTGCTTGGTAGTTTTACTATTAATAATATTTTGTAGCCGCTATGACCTGCGACTAGCTCCCGTTTCGACTATTTTCCAACAATTTGGAATGGTAAGGATCTGTTTATTGCTTGTAGCCAGTTATGTAATTTTATTTAACACATTGATTATATACAATTTCATCATTTTATAGTTTATTTATATATAGCACTTATTCTCTAGTGGCAAAGTTAAATAAGAAAAATTATTAATTATTTGCATCACAATTCTTACGTTACACTATTAGTTACGTAGTAATGTATGCTATAGTACATTTTTATTCAACTTTAGTTATTTTACGAATTATAATTGTTTTCAATTAATTGGGAAGCTCCGGTCATCGGTGATCACCGTGGCAGTCAATGTTTTATACCAACTATATGATATTACTTTAAAGAATTTTTAAAGATAAACATGTCGTATGAATGGATTATCTCCAGTTGTACTGAACATTAGAGATCTGAAAACGCAGATTCGTTATCTTCTACACTCCGGTGACCAATGAAATGTTTCTCTGATTTGGAACAAAAACATTCTTTTTATTATTATCGCGGAAATGTCATTCGTGGAATTACCATCACTGGTACACATTCAGTTATTCGCTATCACTATGAGCGATAAGCGATTGCTAACTTTATGTATATGTGCAGTGTATTTCGGTAAGTCTGAAGGATCAGAAGAATGATCTTCGTAACTCGATTTAGTATTACCGTCGATGACATCGCGTGTAGTTTTGTTGTTGCAATATGTTTAAAATAATTTTATAATAAAGTCTGATCGCACGTGTGAAAATTGTGTACAGTATATGAAACATTAACAGCAAGACAATAATAGTGTTTTGATAAAG